GTGTGAGATTCTCCCAGTGCCTTACCAGGGCTGGAATCACAATGCAACCTCCCTCCCAGGATATCTGCCACCCCCTGCGTGCCCAAACTCTGTGTGGGCAGCACTCACGGTCGTTTTCATCCTGCACTGCAGAGTTGGTGTTGTTGATGCTGTCCTGAATGTCGTTCCAGCTCAGGAACTCTGCTCCTGCTTTCCTCGACTGGACTTTCAGCTGCAGCAAGTCATCAAAGTACCTGCAGGAGAGAAACAAGGCAATGACCTGAAGCATTCCAAGCAGGGCTCAGTGCATTCCAAGGAGGGGTTGGTGCATTCTGAGCAGATCCTTCAGAGGGGAGAGGTTAAGGCACAGGACAGGGAGGCTGCTGGAACAAGCCCACAAAAAGCCCAGGCCCCCTGACCAGCCCTTTCCACAAGATTTCCTCACCCCAACCCCAACTCACTGCTGTGCATTTGCATCCTCAACTCCTGAGAGGCCCAGGGCAGGGCTGACCAGGCTGCTCCAGAGCCTGCTGGGGTTCCTGGCATCCAGGGCTTGGTTAACCAGCGCCACAGCCGAGAGCATCTCCACAGCCACAAACAGCTCCTCCTGTGTCAGCTCGCCCTGTACAGAGCAGGCACAGACACTGAACCCCCATAACCTCCTCCTCCTCCAGGCCCAGGTTCCCCAGGGGAGCAGCAGCAAAGGAAGCACCCCAGACCCAGCAAGGGACCACCCCACCCACTGCCCAGGGCACCCATGGCCCATCCCTGGGTGTCACAGACATCTTTTATGAAAAATTCTTTCCTTAGGATTTTTCCTCCTGAGAAGCCGGGAGGCCTCAGGAACAAAAGGTAAACAATGGTTATCTGCTGCTGTGGAATGCAACATTGAATCTGTGATTGGGCTCATGTGGTTGTTTTTAATTAATGGCCAATCACAGTCAGCTGGCTCAGACAGAGAGTCCAAGCCACAAGCCTTTGTTATTAATTCTTTCTTTTTCTATTCTTAGCTAGCCTTCTGATGAAATCCTTTCTTCTGTTCTTTTAGTATAGTTTTAATGTAATATATATCATGAAACAATAAATCAAGCCTTCTGAAACATGGAGTCAGATCCTCATCTCTTCCCTCATCCTCGGACCCCTGTGAACACAGTCACAGCTGAGGTGTCTCACCCGTGGGTGCTGGCTCTGCAGCAGGGCCAGCTGCTGCTGGTACAGGGGGGCAGCAGGGCTGTGCACATCAGGCAGTTGGGCTGCAGGGTCCAGCAGAGCTTCCAAGGTTTTGGCTGGCATCCCTTGGCGGACAGCAGCGTTGATGCGGCCGACAGCCTGCAGCACTGAGGGACACACAGGGGGCTGGCACAGGGGGGCTGTGCCCTGCCTCAGGGCCAGGCTGCCAGCATGCCCAGCAGCTCCTGGGCAGCAGAAGCTGCAGTAAGAGTTCACCCAGGCACTCACTGGCTCGCTCCTTCTCGTCCCTCCGGTTGGCTGTGAGGATCCCTGCCTGCACCTCCTCCTGCTCCAGCAGCTCCAGGTAGCCCAGCTCCTGCAGCAGGCAGAGAGGGCTGTCAGCTCTCACAGCTCACCATGCTTGTGCTCACAGAGCAGCCATGCCCAGACCCCTGGCAGAAAGCTGCCACCTCCCCAGCCCATGTGTTGCACATATCTTTTCATTAAAAATCCTTTCTTAGGATTTTTTCTTCCTGAGAAGCTGGAGAGGCCCCAGGGACAAAATGTAAACAATGATTATCTGCTGCTTTGGAATGCAACAGGTGCATCTGGGATTGGTCTCATGTGGTTGTTTCTAATTAATGGCCAATCACAGCCCAGCTGACTCAGACAGAGTCTGAGGCAGCTGCCTTTGTTATCATTCTTTTTCTATTCTCAGCTTAGCTAGCCCTCTGAGATGAAACTTTTCCTTCTATTCTTTTATTGTAGTTTTAATGTAATATATATCATAAAATAATAAATCAAGCCACTGTAGCAGAGTCAAATCTACATCTCTTCCCACCATCACACCCAGGGCCCTCCCTCTTCCTGGGGAGCACAGGCTGCCCCCCAGCACCAGCACCCTGCACCCCAGGTCCTGCCAGCCCCTACCAGTGCCTTCTCCTCCCTGTCCGTGCTGAGCTGCTCCAGGTAGAGCTCGAGGTTGTCACGCTTGATGCAGCGCAGGGCCAGGCTGGGCTCCTGCAGTGCACAGTGCAGTGCCAGCACATCCTGTCTCTCCAGGGCATTGTCCACCTCTTCCAGGGCTCCACGCACTGCAAGAGGCCAGTTCACCCCAGAGGTGAGCATGTAAATCATCCCACAGGGCTGCAAGGCAGCTATGGCTAAAGCCTGCATACCCATCACTTTAATTTCTCTTTGGAAATACACACCCAGCCCTTCTCCCCACTAGGTCTGAGGCTGACCTGAGCAGACTTCTTTCTGCTATGCCCACCACTCTCCCCATGCCCAGGTCCCACCATAAGCCCTGGAGAACCCCCAGAGGGAAGGCCCAGCTTTGCTCACCATTCACTTTGTTGATGTTGCCTTGGATTTCAGCCTGGGTCAGACACCAGTCGTAGACGTCCTCTCCTTCAGGGATCACCTGTGGGCACTGGACAGGCACTCCCCAGCTTGAGCTTTCTGCCCAAGCACACCCCACCATGCACATGGGGTCCCCTGCAGATGCCTGGGCTCATTTCCCAACCCCTGGGTGAACTTGTCACAGACATCTTTTATGAAAAACCCTTTCTTTAAGATTTTTCTCCTGAGAAGCTGAGAGGCCTCAAGAACAAAACGTAAACATTGATTATCTGCTGCTGTGGAATGCAACAAGTGCATCTGGGATTGGTCTCATGTGGTTGTTTCTAATTAATGGCCAATCACAGACAGCCTTTGCTATCATTCTTTCTTTTTCTATTCTTAGCTAGCCTTCTGATGAAATCCTTTCTTCTATTCTTCTAGTATAGTTTAAATATAATATATATCATAAAATAACAAATCAAGCCTTCTGAAACATGGAGTCAGATCCTCATCTCTTCCCTCATCCTCAGACCCCTGTGAACACCATCACAAGAACCAGCCCCCAAAGAGGAGTCATGTCCTGCTGAGATGATTCTGCTCAGCACAAGAGCTCCCAGGCTGTGTTTCAGCCAAGGGACCCCTCCACGTCCCCATCAGCAAAGGGGCTGCTCCTCTCCCATCCAGCCCAGAGCCCCCTGTGCTCTCCTCACTCACCCTGTTCCTGGCACTGCTGCCCTTCTCCAGCTTGGCCTGGTGCAGCACCTCCTGGTAGGCACCTGCCAGCTCCTGGCGCAGTCCCACCAGCATGGCGTGGGGGTTCTGCAGGGCCTCCATGGTCTGGGCCACCACCCCTCGCTCCACAGCCTCGTTGATGGCCAGCACAGCAGCATGCACTGCAGGTGGGGCAGGGAGGGACACAGAGGGTGAGATGGGACACAGAGGCGCAGGATGGACCATCTGCTTTATCCCTGCATGCACTGGGACAAGACATTCCACAGGCAATGGTGAGAACCCACCCTTTCTGGGACCCAGCTGGAGTGCCCAGCACCTGGGAAGTCTCACAGCAAGCCAGGGAATGCAGAACTGCCTAGCAATGGCTGTGCCAGCACCTGCAGCCTTGTGCCAGGCTCAAAGAGAACACCCAGGTGCCTCCCACTGCATCCCAGACCACCATCACCTCCCAGGGCTCCCCCTCCCAGTTTGCTGGCCCCAAATTTGGCATTCAGTTTGTCACCATCATATTTTCTGGAAAAATCCCCTTGCCCAGGATTCTTCTCCTGGGAAGCTGAGAAGCCTCAGAGAAAAAGCAAAACAACATTATCTCATTTGCTTCTCCTGTGTTTTGCTGCTTTGGAATGTGTTTGGAGATTTTTTTATCCAACAGGTTGTTGTTTCATTGGTTTCACGTGAATTGTTTTCACTTAATGACCAATTAAGGTCAATCTGTGTCGGGACTATGGAAGGAGTCACAAGTTTTCATTATTATCTTTCTAGCCTTCTCTCTGTATCCTTTCTGTATTCTTTAGTATAGTTTAGTATAGTATATATCTATTTTTATATATATATATATATATATAAAAAATATTTTTTATATTTATATATATATATTAAAAATATTTTCTGGCTTTTGAAAATACAATACAATATAGTATCACAAAATACCAAATTAGCTTTCTAAGAACACGGAGTCAGATTCATCATTCTTTCCTTCGTCTGCGCACCCCAAAAATACAAGATTTGGTAGCTGAGCCAAAATCCTGCTACAGGGTGACACCCTGCTCCCCACCAGGCACCCATCACCTGCTGCTTCATCCACAGAGAGCTCGTTGGCCAGAATGCCTCCAATCTTGCTGAAGGCAGGCAGCTGCAGCCCATACTTCTCCAGCTCCCGCTTCATGTTGTTGATCTCCTCCTCTGGAGCAGAGCAGAGGCAGCACTGCTCAGCACCAGCCCCACAGCCCAGTGCTGGAGCAGGGGCAGCCAGCAGAGCCCCCACTCCCCTGCCAGACCAAGAGGGGTGCAGAAAACCCCCACACATCGGGGTCAGCATCCCTGAGGCAGCTTTGGCAAAATGCATCCAAGGCTTTCACTCCACGGGACCCCAGAGCACTGGTGGCAAACCCCCCTTGGCAAGTCCCAGCCCAGGTGTCCCTGCACATACCTGTGAAGTTCACTTTCCCATACAAGTCCTGGATCAGAGGAGCCAGCCCCAGCTTGAAGAGGTAGAAGCTGAAATACAAACCCACATGGTGACATCCCTCCTGACGCTTCTGTGTCACCTGAGGCTGACCGGTGACACCACCAAAGGGCTGATGAGCATGAACACACTCCATGAGAGCCAGGCCAGGGCACCCACCTGAGTGCATGGATGCAGTAGACCACCCGGGGCATGTTCTTCTTGTCATAGATGTCAGTGGTCTCTGGGTGGAAGATCTGCCAGCAAGACAGAGACACATCAGGGACAACGGCAGCGAGACAGTCCCCAGGGTTGGCTGGTGTCAAAGAGTGGGGGCAAAGACAAAGCCCCCCTGCCATATCAGCACCCCAGTGGTGCCACAAGGCAAAGGCCAGTGTGCCCCTAGGCTGGGGAGAGCAGAGGGGAGGTGTTACCGAGGGAAGCCCCACGTGGCTCATGGCATCACGCCAGTGGTTGATGTTGTCCGTGTGCCGAAAGTGCAGCCCGGCTGTCTGGAAGAGAGGAGCTGAGGTCAGGCTGAACCCCAACTTCTCCATGCCTGGGGTCCCCCTTGCCCCCAGAGCAACCCAGCCAAGGCAGGAGGTCAAAGGTAGAGGCAATGCCTGTGATCCCCAGCTCAGGGACCCCATTGCAGCCCCCCTTACAGAGCAGTCCCTCAGTGACTGCTGTCTGACGCCGACATCTTTTATGAAAAATCCTTTCTTTAGGATTTTTTCCTCCTGAGTAGATGAGAGGCCTCAGGAACAAAATGTAAACAATGATTATCTGCTGCTGTGGAATGCAACAGGTGCATCTGTGATTGGCCCATGTTGGATGTTTGTAATTAATGGCCAATCACAGCCCAGCTGGCTCGGACAGAGAGCCCGAGCCACAAACCTTTGTTATCATTCCTTCTTGTTCTATTCTTAGCCAGCCTTCTGATGAAATCCTTTCTTCTATTCTTTTAGTATAGTTTTAATATAATATATATAATAAAATAATAAATCAAGCCTTCTGAACATGGAGTCAGATCCTCATCTCTTCCCTCATCCTAAGACCCCTGTGAACACGGTCACAGCTGTCAGCGAGTCCCTCCTCACCCTGCACTCACCAGAGAGGGAAAGGTTTGGGGCTACACCCTAAGGGCTACTACACCTTCCTCTGGTGCCACAGCCTTACCTTGTACCGTGTCTGCTCAGGGTCGTAGATCTTCTTCAGTGGCACAACAGCAGGGGCAAAGCAGTGGCCCAGCTTGGCCAGGAGGACCCCATTGCGCAGGGTCTCCTCCAGCTCCGTGGGTGGGGGCAGCTCCTCACCCAAACAGGCTTCCATCCAGCTGCCAGGGCAGGGAGACGGCATGTCAGAGACCCCCAGAGAAAAGCACCCAAAGGACATTCCACTCCCAATAAATCCTCCCTGGCAGGGGAGCTCAGCCCTCAGGCTTTTGCTGCTGGGTGGTTTTCAGTTTGGGTGGAGGGCTGAGTGTCCCCCCACAAAAAACCACAACCCCCCAACCAGCTTTGAGGAGCCATAAAGCCACAGGATCCAAGCAGCATTCTGCAGCATAAGCCCCAGGACAGGATTCCCTGGTTCATTTCCATGAAAACCCCATCACACCTCACTGAGTTTCATCACCCAAAACCCACTGGGCTCACTTGGGATCTCAAAACAGTCCTAAAATTCAACATAACCCTAAATCCTGCCTTGAAGAGGAACAACTTCCCTCAGCTGCTCCCTAAAAACTCAGGATTCCCCTAAGAAACTTTTGTTTTTCAAAAGCTAAGCCACTCCCCACCCATTCCCCCCATCCCTCCCCTTACCACCCCTTTTCCCCCCAAAATGTGAGCTCAAGGATGTCCCCAAGTGCAGCCCCACCGCTTGGCTTCCTCCAGGTGACACAGGTACTGGTAGGCAACGTTCTGCCTCCTCTGTTCGTCCATCTCATCGGCAGTCAGGCGCTCACCTGGGCACAAAGGAGGTCTCCCATCAGAGCCCCCTGCTCAGGGAGGCTTTTTGAAGCCCCCATGGCCACTGAAACTATGATTTGGGAAAAGGAGCCAGGCTTTGGGTGCAGAAGCCTCCCACAGCCGTCGTGGGAGTGGCACCAACGTCACAGTTCTGGCAGTGGAAGGAAAGTTTCCAATTTCCCTTTTTCCCAAATAACGGCCATCAGAGCTGGCACTGGAGCGGGGGAGGGCACAGAGCAAGCATTCAGGGAACACAGCGACAGGTTTGGGGTCCTTTTACCCTGCTGCTGGTGCTGGAGGCACCCACGACTTCTGGGGGGCACCTGGCTGCCTCCCAACAAACCATCCTTCAAAATACATCCCCTCCAGTTTGTCCCCAGGGGCCTGGCACCTTGCCACTGCCATCCCTCTACTCACATGCAGACCCCCTTAACCCCCTGCACCCCTAAATCCGACTGCTCACCCATCTCTCTGCACAGCCAGAGTCCCTGTCCCCATGTGCACCCCACACCTGGCCCCACATCCCCTGCCCCC